TAAATGCTGTCTTGGCTATGTCTCCCTCATTCATCCTAATTTGATGATAGCCTGATTTTAAGTCTAGTTTGGAAAAAATCACATCTCCCCCTAATTCATCCAACAGTTCCTCAATGATAGGTATAGGGAACTTGTTGGGTATAGTCACCTTGTTTAGGGCCCTATAATCAGTGCAAAATCTCCATCCTCCATATTTTTTTTTACTAAATGAACAGGGCTGGAGAAAGGACTGGTGCTATGCCTGATAATTCCTGCTTGGAGCATTTCCCTCACTATCTTCTCAATCTCATTCTTCTGATAAAAAGGGTACATGTAAGGCCCCAAATTAGGAATAACCGCTTCAGGTTTGAGGGTAATAGCATGGTCATGCTCCCTTATAGGAGGAAGTCCAACTGATAGATTAAACACCTCCTTGAGAGAACTCAACAGCTCTTCCCAACCATCCTCCTCCATTGGATGGTTCACCACCTCTGCGCCTCTTGAATGAACAAAAAATCCCACCCCTTCATCACTAATGGCCTTGGCCATGGCTTTCCATGATGCTTGTCTGGTACATAAAGCTGGATCTCCTTTGATACTAAACTTCCTTCCATCTTTTTTCCACTTCAAACTGAGTTCTCCAAAATTTACTGCAATATTCTATAAACTTGCCAACCAATCCATCCCTAGCACCATGTCTGTCCCTCCCAACTTCATCAAGAAGAAATGTTGACTAAATTCCACTCCTTGCATAAGGAATTTCAACCCTTCACAAATCCCTTGGTTGGTAACTCTTTCTCCATTTCCCACTTCTATTACATAGGTTGGAGTTTCAACTACCTTCACAACTAATTCAGCCACAATATTTGGGTCAATAAAGTTGCTAGTAGCTCCAGAATCAATCAAAGTTAGCAACTCTCTCCCCTCCACAGTCACCCATACTTTAAAAGATTTGTTGGAAGTAAACCCTTCTTTACTTTGCATGGACAGTTGCAAAGTCTTAAATTCCTCCCCTTCCTTCTCCCACTCTTCTGTTTGTATTCCAATCCCCTTTATTTCCACCTCCTCACTACTGTTTTCACATAATTTCAAATTCATGTGTTTGAATTTGCAAAGATGCTCTCTATTCCACTTTTCCCCACATTTGAAACAAAGTCCTTTCTTACTCCTTTCTTCTAATTCTGTTGGATCCAATCTCTTGCTCTTATACTTCTCATTTCCTCCACCCTTTGCCCCTTCACCCTCCTTCCTATGCCCTCCTGTATCTCCAGGATCTTTGATCCTTAGATTCCCTCCCCTTTCTCTCCAAGAACTACCCTTCTTTTGCACCACTTCATTCTTTTCTTCAATGAGCAAAGCTCTATCCATCAACTCAGCCAAATCTTGGCTCTCATGGAGCTTCAATTCAGCTTGAATCTCATCTTTCAAACCATTCAGAAAAATTAAGTCCAGCATGACTCTTTCTTCCCTCCTTAATGGTGCTACCATCATCTCAAATTTCTCCCTATATTCTACCACTGACCCCTTTTGTTTCAAACTCAGCAAGGGTCCTAAAGGATTGTGTAAGAGCCCAGGTTGGAATCTCCTCATCACAGCTGTTTTGAACTCCTCCCACGTCCTCAAGGGTGCTTGTTCCTCCCACCATTGATACCAATTTAGAGCTCTTTCCTCCATTGCCAGCACTACCGCATCCAGTTTGTCTTGAATCCTTACTCCATTTAAGTGGAAGTACCTTTCGATGCGTACTAGCCACCCATATGCGTCGTCTCCTTTGAAAACTGGAATCTCCACTCTTCGATGACCTCCAACAAACCGAGAATGACCTTCACCACCATGACGACGATGGTGTGGTCGTGATTTTCTTGAGATAGTACTACGTTCACTCCATTCATCCCTTTCCTCTTCCTCGGCCCCACGAATACGGTGTCTCCGGTGTCTTACATGATTACGAATAGGGTTCTCTTGAATCAGCTGACGAATCTCCTCCACCGTAACCTGCGGCCGTGACTGTTGGTCCATCACCAGCTGTCGGATCTGGTCCATCGTGACCTCAAAATTGCTCATCCTTTGTTCTATGGCTTCTACTCTGTTTTCCATGGTGCTTCTTGTAACAACCATCCACTTGCGCAGGTGGAACCAAGGCTCTAGATACCAAATTGATAGGTTCAATTTAGTATCTAAAAGTAGAATCAGCAGAAAACAAGAGAAATAGCAGAAATAAACAATAATCAGTAAGAAAAATATGAACTTTATTAAAAAGGATTAGAGATCAAACGGGATCTAATCACTTAAAGAAGAACAAAATTTTGCAGAAAAATCAGAAAAAGATGAAGAGGCTCTTAGAGAGGCCTAGACTCTCCCAAATGGATCTTATCCACTAAATTCTGCACAGCCTCATTTCTGTCGGCCACCAATCATTTATGGGAAAATCCCTAAATTCTCTCTCCACTCACCAAAGGCCAGCTGTCCCACCCATGTGCAGCTAGCAGAAATTGTACTATTCTATTACCCTCTATCTCTTCCTTTCTTATGTTTTCTTTGATAGACTTTCCCATATCTACCAGCGCCTAATTTAGTACCAGGTTCATGGATATGACAACGACACTGGAAGCATAGCTTCATACTTTGTTTGCTGAGTCATGTTCACAAATTGTCTATATATGTAAATATAATTTGATTTTTGAATGCAGGAACATAGCACAACTTACAAAAGTAAAGTTCATGCAAAAACCTGGTCAATGGCAAGACCTATACATACCTCCCAGGTAAATCATTATATATACTATCTATATCTTTATTAAAACATTTTTTTTAAATGAAAATGAAATTGGGATTGGGATATGGAATCAAAAAAGTTTATACAGAAATAGAAGACAAATGATCAACAAGCTGCACCGCTACCTCTTTTTGGATTTTTGGATGGCAAAATCAATCCTCTTAAAAATATAAACTCCTGCATTTTGAACTTGACAAAGATCAAATATATTAGCAACAAAACTCATGGTGTATGGATGTTCTTAAAGAAATTAATTTAATTTTTTAGTTATCCTGCTCTTTTGTCTGCTACCTACCTTGGCCTCAGTTTACTAATTGAGTAACAACTATGTTGACTCTTTCCATTGTATTTTATGTATAGCATCAGGTCAATTGTATGTCTTAACTTGCCAAGCTTTTCTGGGGGATTCAATCCATGGGGTACACCGAACAGGAAGAAGCAACGAGATGTAATAGTCGTATGTTAATTCTTGTTTCATCAGCTTTCTGTCACTGGCATTTGAACTTGGTCTGTTCTGGAATTGTACTCCACTGGTTACCATACAGACTAGGAATTTCAGAAAATTCATATGCCAATTCTGTACATTTTTTTGTTAGTCTTGAGATTAGTTAAAAACCAGACCATTAAATATTCAATACTGTTATTCTAGTCATTTTTATTTTCCTGTTATTTTCAGTTTTGAGGCTATTTTTATTGTTATACAGAGAGATTTGACACCACCATATGTGGATGATGGCCTTCTAGAAGTCGTTGGTTTTAGAAATGCATGGCATGGGCTTGTTTTGCTTGCTCCAAAAGGACATGGAACTCGTCTTGCTCAGGTAAGCATGGTTTATATTACCATGGTAAAAAAAACATATGTAACGTAAAATTTATTTGCCCTTCTCACTTGATTCATTAGGCACATAGAATCCGGTTTGAGTTTTGCAAAGGTGGAGCAGATCACACATTCATGAGGATGGATGGTGAACCTTGGAAACAACCTCTTCCTGTTGATGATGATACTGTTGTGGTAGAGATTTCTCACCATGGTCAAGTTAACATGCTTGCCACTCATATTTGCAAGTCTCAAAGCATGTATGATCCATCGTCGCCACACCACGATAATGAAGAAGATGACAGTGATGGAGAAGTAGAAGAAGACTCTTTAGCAGAAGAATTTCGGAAGTTTGGTGCAGCGGATACATTTAGAATCCCAGATGAGGTTGATATTTCTGAACTTAGTTAATTCCTAAATTCTTTAGAGTTGTGCAGTTTGACATTTTCTACAGCCTTTAAGTGTTGACCCCTCCCTAATATTTGTAGTTGCTTTGATTCTTTCATTTTTACAACCAATTTGCTCAATTCTTACAGCATTATGGTTGCAAAAATTATAGGCTACATTAATTGTTTAACTTTAAAAAATTCTTCTAGTTGCTTAGATTTCCGGTAACTCTATTTGCATCATGCTTTAGGTCCGGTAGGCTCACAAAAAATGGTTATTTCTTTGCTTTTAACACATAAAATGCATACTTTTACCGCACAAATTCAACCAAGTGTTTTAAAAAAATAAATTATTTCATTTTTAAGTGAATCTCAAACATCGTTTAAAAAAATTATCAAAGCAATGTTAATGACATTAAAGTTGATTAGAGTATTTTTAATTTTTTAAATATTAGATGAATAAATAAAAGACACGTATGTGTTTTACTTATTCTTACCGTGTCGTGTTCCGTGTTGGAATTTGTGTTTCATTCTTTTTCTAAATATTGAGGTGAACCTTGATGATTGGGAGTGGTTGGAGTGCAAATATAATACAGTATAGTTGAAATGTCTTTCCTGTAGCAATGTTTTTGCACACAAAAAAGGAGTATCTATGGAATTCAAGGATGCAAATTTTACACCTTCCTCTATAGATAAATTTATGATACACATGAATAATTTCAGCTATCAGAATATATATATATATGTTGCCTTCAGGTATGTATTTGAGAACTACAAGTGTAAAATACATATGCCACTGAACAAGAGATAAAATAAGAAAAGAATGCATAAGATTGTGTTGAACAGGTGAAATAATTGTGTTAAAACTGAAACAACAATTTACCCGAATCCCCGTCACAAAAGATACAATAAATCCAGTATACAAAACCAAGATGATAGAAGAGCCGCATTCTGATATCCAATGCCGAGGACAAACAAAAGGTAAGTCAACAAAACCAACTTTTTAACCGATGATCATGTCAGAAGTTTGGTCTTGTCCAAATCATTTTGGAATGGCCTCGTTAGCCTTTTGTGGTTCAGTCCTTTCTTCTCTTTTCTTCTTTTCCCTGAAGCAAAAGATTATTCCAAAGAATCATAAGCAAAATCTTACTACAAAAACAAGTTATAACCAAAACAAAACATGTAGAAAATTTACTGCCATGAATACAAAGACTTTGACCCCAAAGACAGAGGGCTAATAATATTATTGAACAGATGGTATATTGAATTACTAAGCTGCTTGGAAGTTTCTGATCTCATATTTGTAAAAAGGACAATTAGAATGTTGATTCAATCTTGAACTAAATCGGCGAGTGCAAACTAAATGTAGCATATGGGAAAAATAATTCGTAATGTTTATGGGTACCTGTCAATATATTCCTTCAGCAGCTCTTTAGCTTGAACCAACTTAGAAAGCAGATTTCGATACACGTCCAAGTCCCGATCCACACTTCTTTTGTTGATATTCAAAGCCGCACAAAGCTGTTGAATTGACACCAGAGGTTAATTGATAAATATTCCCGCACACATTTTTTAGTAGAATATAGACATTTTCACAATTTTGACATTCAAAGCATCCGATGCAGTGGCCTACTCATATCATCTGTATGCCCAATGTTACAAGTTATATCAACAATTTTTGTGACATGGAGCATCCTCCTTTGTAGTTATTGAGTAATGCAGTAATTTCAGCAGAAATAAAATAGTCAAATTAATTTTCTGAGTAAATAAATGAAATGATGGGAGTAATTCCAATAATGAAACCTGAACTTGGTGGAAGAGAGATCAGGATATCAAAGCCATTTAACCGATTCGGCTAATCCAAATAGGTTTGCAATAGGGCATCAAAATAAGTTGGACTGTCTTGAATGATTAATTTTCTAGAACTGATGTACAGAACTTGACTTGATAGATTAAACTTTGAAATACAAACACAATATATAATAAAATGAGTATTTGAGTAAGTTGGGGTGAATATATCATGATGATTTATGAATTGGATAACCTTTTCCAAAATTGTCGGTTCCATTGCATTTGCCAACTCAAGAAGGCGAAAAAGGCCTACTGCAAAGAAACGACTATAACTGAAATCCCCCTTTCCACCTGCTCTTTCGGCAATATCCTTTAAAATCCCCTCAACTTCTCCTTCCCTGGATGAAAACTCAATAAGGGAAGTCGAATTTTGAGCACGAGCCCACTCTTCCAACTTCTGTGCATCTACTCTGCAATGGGTAATATTTAAGATCATTTGATGTAAGAAAAAATAATTCATAAGTGCAATTTCTTTAAATCTAGGATATAACATACAAATCCACATACAATGTTGCCTGCCTGCACTTGTGCTACAAGATTCTTTTTTACTTCAGGTACATGTCTTGAGATAGAAACATGTCTTAGGATTCTTTTCTCTATTATTTTCTCAACATGCATACTAAAGTCTAAAACTACTTTCTGTTTTTCATTTCACAGTAATAATCAATGACATTGATGATGCTTTAATGATCAGTTGGTACTAGGCATGGTAACGGGGCGGAGAATATTTTTACCTCCTCCAAATCCAAACCTGAATCCCCAAACATTCCCCGTTCCCCGCCCCAAACCCAAATGGGGATGGAGAATTAAAACTCAAACCCGTCCCAAACGGGTTCGGGTATTCCCGCTCCGCCATCATCAATTTAGTAAAATCAATTATTTTTAATAGAAATATTTATTTTTTCCAAAATCAAATTACATTACAAATAATAAAATAAAACAATCTCAAAATATTTCATAAATACATTTTAAATATTTTAAATAATCAATACAAGTCAAAATATCAAAACATTGGCCACATATTTAATATTCCAACTTAACAAAACAAAATAATAATGTACATAATGAAATAAACGGGGCGGGTTCGGGGTGGGTACCAGTGTCCCCATTACCCGACCCGTCCCCATATTTTTTAATCGGGAAAAATCCAAACCAAAACCCAAACCCAAACCCAGTCAAAACAGATTTTCCCCGTTAACTTCGGGGCGGGTTCGGGTGGGTACCCGTAGGTATGGGTTATGTTGCCATGCCTAGTTGGTACCATACTTCCCAATTACAAAAATTACCTCAAACTTTAAAAGAATCAATCAACCAATCATAACTAATTATTTAAGCAGGAAGTCATTTAATTGTACCATCTTCTGCATTTTTAGCAACTAGGACATGTATCAACTGTATGGTAGAGTAAAAACAAATGTGATTCACAAATCACAAAATCATGTAGCATACAGAACATACATGATGAGTTAATTTGGGGTGCAGACATACAAGCATTCATTCCCTAACCTGTATTGTTCTGGATCTTCCTTCAATGCATTAATGTATGCTTGGAAGATGGCATCTCTGTCCTCGTCACTAGGATACCCTTCCATGAGTTGATCATATACAGTAACAAAGCCAAGTGCAAATACAGGATCATAGCGGTATGACTTCTTGTATCTCATCAGATGTTGCTGCACAATTAGCTCTTGAAGCACGGAGTTGTAGATACTCGGTATTGGTCGCTTATATGCCTTGAGAAAATTTAACTTTGTCTCAGAAACAGTTGGAGGGTCTGCAGATCAAGTATGTAGACATCCCATGACTAACTATTGATAACAAGGTTTATTTTCTATTTTTATTTCTTTTCCCTTTTAGAAGTACTAGTTGGCAATTATGAAAGAAACTATTCACAACATTTTACATTACATGATCATATGAATCCAGGGGTCTAATAGGAGATGCTTGCTTACAGAATGAAACTGTAGAGAATAGGGTTCATGCATGAAAGAGCAGCAAAGACATTCAGATCAAAATTTACACGAAAATCTCTTAGAAACAGCCAGGTGGCATCAATAAAGTAAATTTTCTGGTCAAATAACATGTTGCTAACATTTGCATAAGGCCACAAGCAGTTACATCGTTGATTTTAGGGAAACTGTAGAATAGTTCAAACATCAAAGTGTTACGGTGTTCATTTGTGTATGTTTAGTTTAGCTTTTGGAAGAGTCAAAAGCAATTCTAGAGGCGTAGAATTGATTTTGGTGTTCATTGGTGTATGTTTAGTTTAGCTTTTGGAAGAGTCAAAAGCAATTCTAGAGGCGTAGAATTGATTTTGAAATGATTTTGAGGTGTTTGGTTTTTCTAGGGTATAATTGATTCTGACTCGAGAATTGATTCTATTTAAAGCTAAAATTTGTAAATTTTATATTTATGCTTGATTTTTCTATAAAGTTATTCAAACTTAAATCATTTTAAATACAACTCATTTTTAATCGGAATCAATTTTACTGAATCAAATTCACTCAAAATCTGCATAACCAAATATTAGCGAACACGGATGCTATCAACGCAACATTATCCGTAAGCTAAAAAGCTAATTTTTTTGGCGTGTTGAATCAAACCAAGCAACAGACACATTGTAAGCAATCAAATTGAAATACTAAATCACACCAAAATCTAACCCTTTGATTCTAAATTCCCAATCCCATAAAAATACCTGAGACAAAAATTTCACATCCATATACTACTAATTTAAACAACAATTCTAAATTGAAAAAAGAAAAGAAAAAAAGAAGTTCAGAACGCGTTTAAAGTTATTCCCTTAATTTCCAAACCTGACACAGAAGAGGAGCACCGAACAACCATTCTGGAAATGGAATTGGAAGTTCGAATTCCAACATATTGAGACGCTAAGCTCAAACGAAAGCGAACTGCATCTGAATCGGAACTAAGGATGCGAGTGGAAGAAAAGGTGAGTTTCCTTTGAGAAGATTGAGTGACTGTTGAGAAAGAGAAAGAAGAAGTTACGGCGGCCATGGAGCAGAGAGAGTGGTGGCCGGATTCAGAAATTTGCAGGCATAGAATGAAAAATTGGGAGATGAATGTTCAGAGGGAGAGTTGCATCATGTTTGCTTTGAGTGTGAGTGTTGTCATTAGGAAAATGAGGTTTATGTGGATTGCGGGGAAAATCAAAATCAAAAGCTTATCCGTTCGGTATGATATTGAAATTCTTGTTAATTTTTCCAAGGAGCCAACGGCTTTGTGACATGTGGATGTACATATAATAAAACAAAGGCAAAACTACTCCCTATGTTCTTTAAATTATATTAAAATATTAAGTTAGTCTCTTAAAATAATTTTTAATGCTTTGATTCTTTTTAAAATAATTTTTAATGCTTTGATTCTTTTTAAAAAAAATTTATTACAATAAATTACATACCCATATATTATTTGAACTGGTTTTTCGCGCTGATCACGAATATATAATTATTTTTGTATTTGATTGTGTATTTTGGTCAGCGCGAAAAACCAGTTCAAATGGTATATGAGTTTGCAATTTATTATGACAGAGATTTTCAAAAAGAGACTAAAGCGTTAAAAAAATTAAGGGACTAATTTGATATTTTAAAATAATTTAACGGACTAAAAGAGTAGTTTTACCTAAAATAAATTAGTAATAAAAAGACCAAATCTCATCAAAATACTTAAATCATCAGAACTATTGAAATGCTAATAATTATTGTTAGACAAGAAGTACAATATGGAATTATTGTCATATTTGTTTAGTCGTTGTTTTGATTTTATTCGACCAATTATTAGCCCTAATAGTATTTGTCTCAAGCTATTATTCTTTGTAACTTTTACTCTATAAATATATCATTAATATGAAGAATAAAATATCAATTCATTTGTTCCCTTGTACAACATCAACCTTAAACTAGCTTTAGCAAGTGTACAATGAATGACAAGTAATAATTGTGTGTGATTGTTTGAGGTTTTTAAGGTTCTTGTTGTATTAGAGCATGAATGAATTGAACGCTCTCTCTTAACTATAGAGTTGAGGTATTTATAAGAATTTTTTGGATCTAAATCTCATAACTAAGTAAGCAGTAAAAACCTCTTTCTTTCTCAAGAGTGTGGAAAATGAGCAGTTATTTCCCATGTCCTATTAGACAATGAGGCTTGCTTCTTTTACCATCTCTCATACCGTTAATGGGAGGGGGGTAAAGACATATCATTTCCTATGTTTTCCTAAGTGGATGAGTATTCCAGGCGATGGACGCACATTATGATGGATGTGTGATCAGATTAATAACCATGTGACTAGTAACCCTGTTATGGGGAGATGGATGACATATGCCCTCCATTGGTGCGGCTTGCATTGCCTTCAAATAATATTCCACAAACATTCTAATACATAGTCCCTCGAGCATGAGGGATTGTAAAGGACGAAGTGATTTGGTCGGGTAACTACTTCACATCTAGACGATTCCCTCAGATATGCTTGAGGCAATTCCCTTAAGCATGCTTGGGACGAGTCCCTCAAGTGTGGCATACAGTAAACCTCCTAGTGTCAATGAGTTGTGTTCTTGAACGTTAGTTGAGACAAATCCTCAAACGTCGTTTAGGTGGATGCACGCACAACATTAAATGTGATCATTGGTGGTTTAAGCCTTGGGAAGCCAAAATCGCTTTAAACGCATCACTTGTGTAAGAAATGTGAGGAATCCATTATGAGTGTTGGGGAATCTAGCGAGAGCTTGTTGATTACATCTATGGAGTTGTACCCCAAAATTTGCCCTAATGTTTCTAACCCTAACTGAATGTTGCTTCACAATTATATGCATTCGTCCATTAGGTCATACATTCACAAACATTCATGTGCATAAGATCCTAAGGCACGAAATTAAGGCCTTCTGAAGAATCATGATTTTCTATTAGGTTAATATTTCTATTTCATTTTTGAAGATTAATTCAATTGGTCTCTTTATAGATTTAAAAATTAGGTTTTGGATTCTCATCACGAGCATCTTCTTATCAAGGTTCATCAAGATTTCTCAAAGATTAAGTGCATTAGGATTGTCTCTTGCACGGGCTTAGGGTCTTATCAAGGATTTCATGCTTATGTTCATCAGATGGCTCCTCCAAGTTAGGTCACTTAAATCATCAACAATATCATTTTCTGGTGCTCACTATCATATAATTGGGGTTTATTTCCCTGATTATGTGGCTTTCGAGGGTTTACTTGTGAAAAATATTCATCAGCACATCATTCAAAGCTCCATCATAGTTTAAGGTACAACTTATTGAGGAGGCACTAATGAACCTGTCCAATATGGGTTTGGTCTAAAGCATCCACAAGATGAGAATTTCAGTAGGAAGTTCATAGTGCTATCATGGTTTGTGAACTTAAGGTGAAAGGTTATTCATCTCATCCATTCAAGATGCATTCTGAATAGGTTCATTACAAGTATTGCTCAAATGTCCACTTATTCAAGCTCCATTAAATCACAAAGGGTGTGGTTATGGGTTCATTCAAATTTATGTCAAAGTCCAAGATCCATATTCATCCCAAAATTGGCATGAGTTTACTCAATTCAAGGTGGATTTAAATAAAGTAAATAAGAGGAAAAATCATTGACCAGGAAGTGCAAGTCGTATTGTGATCACATAACTATTGCTCATTACTTGTAACGCGAGTTAAGATGGATTTGAGAATATAAATTGATATGGATTTGGAGTCAAGGATCAATATATGCAGATATGTTAAAGATAGAGCGTGTGGATTTCTTGAAAGATTAAATACAAAATTCAAAAGTCAAAGTTGATCACCAAAAATTCCAATACAAACTTCCAAAAGTAATCAAGTATTTGGTCATGGCAAAGTTACATGAGATCAAAAGTTTTTTTATTATACTCATAAGCAATGTTCATTAGAAGTTTGTGTAAGTTTGCAAGATACAAAATTCGTTCAAAAATCCAAGTACAACTTGTCAAGTCATCCTATTTCATGCAAATTTTATAACTTTTTCGCTAAAGACCCAAGAGAGGCGGCTAGCAAGAACCTTGTGCGCTAAGTGACATGAGCATATATGCAGTATACTGTCATACCCTAATTTTATACCCTAAGATTCTGCATTTTTCGCTTTGTATCGTCTGCATAGCATATCACGCATTTCATTTTGCATAATACCCAATTTATCAGCTGAAATAAATTTGTTGGAATTGACAGCCGAATCGGTCAAATAAAAGTCAATTGTGCGAAAAATCAGTGGACGGAGAATTTTAAAATCGAGCCTACAGACGTCAGTGATATTAATCTACGTTTTGCGTAGTTTAACTTGGCGTGCTCATTTTAATTTTTCAACCACTTTTCGGTCGCGTTTTGAATAGGTTAAACTTGTTTCAGCAGGTAAAATTTATTTCGAAATTTGATCAAACGTTGTATTTTTCCAATATGTTTATTTCACGTTGATTATTTTGGTGTGTTCATTTTATTTTTTCGAGCACTTTCTGCCCGACTTTTTATTTTGTTTTTTAATCATTTTTATTTAAATAATCATATAACTTATTTAGATTTAATTAAATATTTAATTTAAATTTTTATTTTAATTAATTAATTTTATTATTAATTTGTTTATTAATATTTTCTTTTTAAAAATATACAAAAACATCATTTTTAATTCTTTTCATTCCTGTCTTATTATAAAAAACACAAAAACATAATTTTAAAATTTTTTTATTCTTATCTTATCATAAAAAACAAAAAAACATAATTTTTAATTCTTTTTATTCTTATCTTATCATAAAAAATTTAAAAACAAGATTTTTAATTCATTTAATTCTTGTCTTATTATAAAAAAGAAAAAAAAAACATTGCGTTAATTGTTATTATCATTTTTGTCTATTTTCTAGTCATATATATATATATATATATATATGTGTGTGTGTGTGTGTGTGTGTGTGTGTATTAGAAAAAACAAAGGGGACACAAAAAAGAAAAAAAAACTTCTGTTCCCTCATTGCCCTCTCTCTTTCTTTCACGTTAAAATAAAATAAATAAATAAAAGAAAGGACATGCTTCATCTTCACACAAACCCATGAATAACAACAACAAAGTCGTTTTTCTTTCAAACTCATAACAAATCCGCAAAGCACCATGAAAGTCTCTACATAACAAACTGAAACATCTGCAATCATGCACACCTTCAGCACCGTTTAGCCTCTGTTTGTGGTAGCTTTCTCTTATCCCTTTTATTTTATGTTCATAAAAACTTTTTATATATTTTGTTTGTTAGTTTTTAGAAATATTTTTATTAATATGTTAGGTGTTTAAAAATCTTTTTTTTTTCTCTTTTTATCAAAATAAAGCTTTTTTTAAAATTTAAAAAAAAAAAGACAAATTTTTTTTAAAATATAACAAGCATTTTATCTTAATGTTTGTGATTGATTTTCTTTTACTTTGTTTATATAGATTTATGTGGGTTGTCTAATTTTATTATTTGTTTGTGATTGTTTAATTGCCATTATTGCTTTTATTTTCCATTAACTAGAAAAAGTAATTAATTGAATAATAGATAAAATAAAACAAAAAAAAAACATAAAAATCAACTCTTTTTTTATAAAAAAAAAAGAAATACTCGATCCAACGTCGAGACACTTTTTCTCAAGTCAAAACCAACGAACTCATTTTATTTTCGTTCTTGTGCTTATTTCTTTAATTGGGTTTACTTATAATATTTTCATTTCATCCTCATCCGACAAAATGTACTCCGTTCCCATTAAGTGTAATAATTTTATCGCTCTCATCTTGATTGTATTTTTATATTTTATTCATCTCTCACTTGCACGCTCAAACCATTTCCATACTAATTTTTGATTCAATATCGAGCCCCTTTTCAAAACACCTTTGTAAGTCGATTGTTTCTACGATTGCTATCAACCAAACCCAAAACATTCTTGATTCATATATCAAGCTATACCCTAACTTGTAAGTCGACTGCTTTTTAGCATCGCCATCAACCTCATGCACGCAC